ATTCCTATATAAAAAATGTATTTGTTATGGTTCATATGTGTGCATGAGTCGATGTGGTGACATGTTATTGTATATGTTGCATGATTTTTGTAAATACATGTTAGTGTGATAAGTTATGTGAGATAGTGAAAATGATCTATATGATTATCTAATAATATGAAATAAGAGGTATGATAAGGACATAAGAAATGTTATGAACAGGTGACATACGCTATGAGCTAAAGAATTATATAATATATGTAAACATAAGGTAACCCAAGGGTAAGCGATATAGTATGATATAAGTGATTACACAAGAAAGGTTATGAGTTCTATGTGATATAAGAATATGAAATCTTATGAAAAGTGATATGAATTACGTGAAAAATAAGCTATGTGATTACAAGGATATGTGATCATATGAAATGTGATAAGAAGTTATGTGTCTATGTGATAAGAATATGTGAAATGATATAAAGATAATGCCCATGTTATATGTTATGAGATCTAGAGATATAGTTGGCATGCCAAGAGTCGAGAGATTATCAGTGGTCCTTCGGGACATAGTGGTCCTTCGGGACATAGTGGTCCTTCGGGACACAGTGGACCTTCAGGATATAGTGGTCCTACGGGAAAAAATTCTACGCGCCCTTAGTTGGAATTTTACGAGCTGTGGTGACATCATAGTGCACAACCTCTATGTAATCACATATCTTTAGCTCTCAGAAATGTTCATGGGCTAAACAAAGATATAACAATAAATACATTACATGTGAAGAATATGTTTTTGTGATATATGATGATATTTGTATTGTTTGGTTTATGAGTCATATATGTTGGTGGAAAAGATTAGGACAAGGAGATATGATTAACTTATATAAATGTTAATAATTTAGATAGTGAAATAAGATTAATAAAGTAGATGATGAGTGATATGTATCTGTGTACATTTAATTATACATAATGTTATATTGTTTTGTGTGATAGCATGGTATGATATGTTCATGCATGGTTAAAAAGTTAAAGTTTCTCTTATAAGTTTAATGCCTCACTAAGTCATAGACTTAGCGTGTGAATGTTTCACACGTAGGTTTGAGAAGCAAGAATGGAAGTAGCGAGGAGCAAGATAGGTCAGTATCTTCCTTATGAGGATCAGATCAGAAACATATTGAACATATGTATTTTGTTTATAGAGTTAGTTGGCATGTAGTTACAAGATTTGAATTGAATATGCTCTGATCGTTTTAAAGAACAATTTGATTGTAATTATTAATGTAAAGTACCCATTTTCTTAACTGATGAATTTAAGATTTTATGGAATTGTAAAGAACAGAGTTTTGAAAAGCTAATGTGACACCTCAGACTCGGATCCGGGTCGGATACGGGTTAAGGGGTGTTACAATACTTTATGAGATTCTTGTGTTGTTAATGTATTTCGCTGATTGATTTCGTTGGTGAGTTCATTATATTATCATTGGCGGTTCTAAACCCCTCTCGAGCCCTTAACCATAATTTAGGTTTCTTGCCCAAAACTATATGATAGTACCGATACTAATCCTTATAGTTCAATACCGCCCCTACGGCATCGGTACCCTATCATGGTATCGATACCAAATTTGCATTCTATAATCTAGTATGACCTTGTAGTATCTATACCCTTACTTGGAGCACCGATGCCTCTCTACTAGGGTACTGATACCTCCTTGGGTATCGATACCAAAATTTGGTTTGATGTTTGATATAATAATTTGATATCGATACCCTTACTTAGAGTATCGGTACCTTAGCTTCACATAATATCGATACCTTCAAGGGTATTGATACCCAATTTGCATTATGGAATTGGTGAATTATGGATGGTATCAATACCCCACCCTTGGGTATCTATACCCGACGAATAGTATCGATACCCTTTAAATAGGGTATCAGTACTACCCAACCAAAACTCCTTGTTTTAGGTTATCTGAAGAACAATATCAGTATTGTTCATCTAGTACCGATACTCATGCCCAAAAACACTATGTTTTTTCTTGAAAAATAATACTCAACTTAATCCATTTGCCTTTCTAAGGCCCTTAAATGTTAATTAAATCTTATGTAAGCTGATAGGGATCATAAAGGGTCATTTTTTATAGTGTATAACATCAAATTCCATAACTTACCATCAATGTACATACATACCTCATGAACTCATACAAGCCAACTAGGTACACATAATGACACACAAGTGGTATAAATGAATTAGAAATGTGTTACCATGATTCTAAGTTGCAGACAACGTCTCTACTCAACCAAGAACCAACTTCTCCTTGCCTTTGGTCTTAGAGCTTTCTCCAACCTCTTTCATTAATCACAACAATGAAAATGAGTTTCTAACTCATCCAAGAACTTAGAATGGAGTTTAAGAACACTCTCTAAAGCTTGAAGCTACCCAAAATGAAATAAGGAACATATGGGTTCTAAGCCCCCACTAAAACCCCTCATCACTTGGGGTCGCCATGGACGAACTTTGATTTCGTGAACTTAAAATGAAGCTTTCAAAGTGAATATTACCACCCTTACCTTTACACAATCGGTTTAAAAGTGTAGACCAATAAAGTTTCCACCTTTATTCAAGCTATTAAGGAAGATGATGAACGTTTTCAATGAAGAAGAGGAAGAACAAGACAATGAGTGTGAAGAAAAAGAGAGACTCTGTCGGGTGACTTCACCAAAATTAAAAGAAAATTAGCCTTTCAAGAGTCAATGGGATAATTACTCTCATAGTCCTTTTTCTTTTGCTCTAAGATTAAACAAGCCTTTTTTGTGTCCAAATTGGGCTCAAACCCAAGCCCAATCCAAAACAAACTTTGGCCAAAGCTTTCTACAAGGCTAGTAAACTTATTTAAACACTCTCGGTTTAGCTTGAACTACTAACCCATGATTTGGGGCGTTACATTCAACCTAACCTCAAAAGCTCAAATTTCTACCTTTTGTTGTAGAAAATCACTTTTTGATGAAATTATATTTTTATCCCTAAATACTATATTTTCAATTTACAACATAATGTCTAAAATGGACATTTTATCTTATCAAAATTACTTTTTAAAGTACTTTTTAACAACACTTTTTAAATCGATTTTCAAAAGTAATACCAAACTGACCCTTAAATCTACTCGTATTACACTTAAAGCTCAACTCAGATTTAGGATTCAAACCGAAACTGAAGGTCTAGCCCCATCACACTCCACAACCAAAACAGACGTTCCAATTTGAGCCTAGCCCAAACTTTGACCTAGACCAACTCTCATCCAGCCTTGATCCAATTCATCAACAAGCCCCAAGAATGGTAGTAGCATCAGGAAGATGAACGGATAGCCTCTCCAGTAATGGCAGTGGACACGAGTAGTGGTTTTAGCAACAGTGACAATAGTAGTGGCAACTACACCTTCTTTGTGCAACAATTTCGAAACATGTAAAGAAGTCAAGAAAATGATGCAATCATTTTTGAAAATAAAAGGGAAGAAAAAAAATAACTCTAACGAGATAGGATTTGTGATTCCCGATGATAGAGGCCTCGATTTAGAGATCCAAATGATGGGTTAACTTCTCACAAAGTTAGGAAAGACCTAGTATAAGGAAGTATTTTACTATTATGCGTAATATTTTATAACATGTTTAATACAAAAAAAAGTATCTAAATTATAGTCTTAGTTAAATTTAAGATTCTAAAGATTTTCTCTTTAAAAGTAGGTGCTTAATGTTTTCTCCATTACACATTTAAGTACTTACATCATAACAAGTGTTAAAAATATTGTTACTTGATAAGTGTCACGTTTATATTATTTTTGAATTTTTTAGTTTTAAAAATTAAAATATATTACTTTTAAAAACTATTTTTTTAAGAAAAATATACCCTAAAGTAAGTGGCGGCGACACCCACAAAAAATATTCACTATGAACGCTCCCCTCCATACAACCCCTGGGCAAAAAAAGAACCATTTTAGATTTGAACCCAGCCCCCCTCTCCCCGCGTTTGTAATATTTCATGTGTGAGCGCAGGCATTGGATTGTGAGAAATCCTCCACTGACCGTTTATGTGGTATTTTAGATTTAAGATCAGAGATTTAAAGGTTTAAATACTTAGAGATTTTGAGTAACGATAAGGGTGATGGTCGATTAGGGAATGGATAACGAAGGATAAGTGGCTATTCAACCACAGAGGTGGTGTTAGAGATGAATTTAAAATTAAGGATTTTAAAGTTGTGAGGGTTTTTATGATTTTAAAGAATTTTAAGTTTTTTAAAATAATAATAATAATTTTAATTTTTAGAAAATATAATTTTTTCAAAAAATATAATTTTTAAAGAAATAAAAAAATAATTTAAAAAATAAGTTTAAAAAAAATATAAACGTACATGTTAGATAACGGTCTTTTTTAACGGTTGTTACGGCATATATATTTAAAAATGCAACAGAAAAAAACATTAAACACCTAATTTGAGCAAAAAAATCATAAAACACCTAAAATTAACTTTAAACATAATTTAAATACTTACTTTCTCATTACATAACAATCTGGATGTTCATTTATCTAAAAGAAAACCCATTTTATGCTTCTTATTCACTTTACTAGATCAACACTAGCTGAAACCGAATCAAAACAATATTTTCCTTACGTTATTAAGCTGGCCACCCACCGAAGAGCACACTCTTTCAGACCCCCGAGCGTGACAATCAATAATTCGATTCATTTTCAATTAGGCCTTGCTCTAACTTCTTTAGGGGTTATTACGTACTATCTTTCTTAATACTTCACATTCTTAATTATTCCCCCCCCCCCCAATTTAATATGTACATGGCCATATTTTTTTTTTTAATTCTTACTTACAAAATAACTTATCTCACTTTCATGGAACAAACAAGGAATAAACTACTTGAGTCTCTACACTACAGGTTTAAGAGCAAATCAGTCTTTCTGCTATAAAAGTGAGGTAATTTGATCCCTTTTACACTTACAAGTGAATAACTAAAATTATAATCCATGGTAGGGTTGAAAACTTGAATGTTAAATAAATACACCGCTTCGCTAACCAAACAATAGCTCTCCCCTATGGTTTCATACCTTTTAAACCTGGATTTCCATGATGCCGGAACAGATGACCATGGACAAAATCCACATCTTGCAGGAGTTGTCATGAACTCTGACTCGATTCTCTATGATGTTGATTCGAGAAAGGTTAATAATGACCCCCCATCATTATTGAATGATATTGATGATTAGTGCTTGTGTTTCGCCCTCGCAGTTGTTGGCATCACTTTGAGGTTCAAGCTTAGGAGGAGCAGAACTAGAGCCTGGTGATCGCACTTCAGCACGAACTTTCCTAGCATGCTGCACAAGGAGAACAATTTGTTTCATCATTCGATGAGTTGATGATGATGAACAATTTCTCTGCACGAGTGTTTCTTTACAGCAATGATTAACCAAACAACGCAAGGGGCACACGCATGGTGAAATAAACTTAGGGTTCTTCAAAACAGACCTTCCTGGGGAGAGTGCACGTTCGGGCAAAATGGCCTTTTTCTCTGCACCTGTAGCATAAAGCGGGGGATTTTGAGCCCCGAACAACTTTGGGACACTTCGAGCAATCCTAGTAGAATGGCCACAATAAGATACAATAAATACGATTCTTACACAGGCATAAACCAAACCATAAACGAGAGGGAAGATTTGACTTACAGATCCAAAATGGCCAGACTGGCCGCAATTATAGCAGGAAGCTTCTGTTGGACTAGTATATGGAAGTTTGACACAGCTAAGATGACCAAAATCTTCGCAAACATAACATCGTATTTTCTGTTTACAACAGAATAATCATTCTGATTGTAAATTCTAATTGTTTATGCAATCATTAGTCTCATAAAACAAAACCAAGTAGAAGAAAATAAAGCATTTGGCTCAAAGATATGTAGGAAGAGTATGTATCCTCCGCCTTCTCAATAAGCCGGATTCAGATCCCCCTTCCCCATCAAAAATGAAAACAAAATATTAGGATAAATATTCATAGAGATAAAAAACAGGTGATTCGTAAAAGCATAAAAAACAATGAAAAATACCTTGAGATCATCAGCAGAATAATCACTTATACAAGAGAACATATCATGTCCGGAATCCCCACATCTTAAACAAATAATATGATTTTCTTCTTGTTTCTTTGGACAATCATGGGCTTGGCGGAATGTTCCTCTGCAGACAAAACAATATTGGCCCTGCTGAAATATCAAGGTTGAATCCATTAAAAGTAAAGAAATCTCAAAAAATGAACATCATGTTCAACAGAAAATGGGCATCTCTATCAAGATTGGAAAAGTTCGGAGGGAAAAAAGAAAAGAAAAGAAGTATTTTAATATACTAACGTAATAATATCAATAGTGTTGTTTCAGTCACCCAAGATCCTCTATCTCAGAAACCAACAATTAATGTGTCAAGGATAATTTATCAACCAAAGATCTTATCAAAGAAAACATATTATGCCAGTTTGGGAAAAGTGGATTTCGAAATTAAAATCACACCCAGTTAATCAAATTTGTCTGTTGTTTGATCAGGTCTAATAAATTCGTCATTTTAGAGTTGTGACCTCTATGCATTATCAATTCTTATAGAGGTTTGCGATGGCATAAGACTAGACTGCAGAAAAGATGGCACATCTCATTCAACCGATGTGGGAATTTCTAAGGTAAATGCTATTAAACCTGTGAGCAATGCTTTCCAATATGCTGATTATTTCTGCTTAGGAAGCATACTTTCCCTCGCCTTTGCAACAGACAATTGGCTGCTGCTGGATGATATTCTCCGTAATCGAGACATCTAGCCCAGTTTCCATTTGGAAGATCAAAATATCTTCGTTTCTGGTAGAAAAGCAATACAACCAAAGAACTAATCATCACAAAGAAATCTTTCAAAGATGCATTTTATTACAGTTTCATGACACTAAATGTTTTAAAGCAGTATTTGTATACAGATAATAAACTCACAAGATGGCTCCGTAGAACAGTGTTCTTTGCAGATGATTTTACAATTTCTACGCATTTATCTTTCTCTGCATGCATTTCCTTCATTCCAGCATCAACCTAAAAGCACAGAAATCCCAAAAATATCATCTTGATAAATACAAAGCTCCAAGTTTTTATTATTTTCAACCATAAAAAGAGATTGATGCTTTCATGCTGAAGCAAGCAACTAACTGAATTTAGAATTCTGTAATATTATGACCCAACAATAAGATTTAAAAGCTAATCTACTTACAGTTTCTTCTGCTAAAACAGATTTTAGCTCACTTCTCACCATCACACCATCTACTCTTATTGTACCCACTGCTGACACCATATCTCCAGTGCTTGTTCCAGAGCATATATTAGAGATCAAACCTTCATCGACTGAAGATGAGGAACAAATATCGGTGACCTCCATAGAGCTAGCTTCATCAGCATTTCCCTCAGTTCTACATGTTACTGCTTGTACAGTTTCTATCATCTTATTTTCCATAACATCAGTATCAACCTGAAGCCCACAATATACCAAAGTTTTAACTAAAACCCAGATTAGTCAACAAAGAATACTTTCACGGAGAATAAATAGATTCTTTAATTCTACATTCCAATCTTAAAAACATAAAAAGTAGGGGAAAATGAAAGAAGAGCTGACTTCAATTACAAAACCTACAAATTCATTGAAATCCCATTTTAATACTGCCACTGTTCTTACAGCTTCATCTTTTCCTGTGTAAATTGCAGACTTTCCAGAATCCACCTAAGTTCATCATATGCAGAGAAATGAAAGCCAAACAATCCTTAAAAAGGAAAGGAGGAAAGAAAAGGAAACAAGAAAGAAGAACCCGGCTTCAATTACAATACCTAGAAATTCAAATAGAAACAAAACAAGCTAAAATCTAGTTTCACTTGCCATAAATTTTCTTTCTTTTGAAAACCCAATTCTAAAAGATCAATAGGCACAAATCTCTATGCTTAGGGAGAGAAAAATGGAAAAAGAAGTCAAACCTACTTACAGGAACTGACTGGTGAGCTTGATACTGGGACTCGTTGTTGTACATTCTTTTTCTGTATCTTCTTCTTCTTCGTTTTCTTTTAACCGTGGCTTCTCCTTCCACCATACCTCTCAATTTATGAAATCATTTCATATTCGTCAGATTTGGTCTCCCGAGTTGAGTTTTTTTCACTTCTTGAAGATAACTGCAAACAAATGGCTGTATAACTGGTAATATTTTTATGTTTCTCTTTCCTTTCAACTTCCCGTTTTCTCTTGCAGTTGCAGTATCTAGATGTATCCGATAAGTGCCGGCAAATCTAAGGCTTAAAACTTAGAATAAAATAGTCCGACTATAATTCATTGCGTTATTAAATTTTCTTATTACGAGAGGTTATAAAATAATTTTTTGATTATTTTAATAAAAAATGAATTTAGAACCTATCAATAGTCAAATGATTATTTTTTTTATTTTTAATAATTAGAAAATTTAATAAAATAACGTCTTATAATTATTTTATAATTTTTAATAGTTAAGATACTCAATAAAATAACGTTCTATAATTGGGGGACCATTTGTACACTTTACCCTAAAACTTATTTTAACCTCTGTACTAGAGGGGAAACTTCAGTTTTGCTCTTTGTTGTTTTGCAATTTAACATTTATACCCTTTGTTATTAACCTCTTAAAAGGTCATACATATTAAAATAACTAAATAATTAAAATCTAAAAAAAACATCATATTCAAAATTCTTTTCTTTAAACATTATATAATTATGTTTAATTTTGTTTTAAAAACAAAAATTATTAAAATTACAAATGTATTCCTAACATTTAAAAAATCTGAAAAAATCATATTCTTTTTTAAAAATTGTACGGTTTTATGAATTTTTAAAATTTCCGATTGTTTTAATATGTGAAAGCATCGGATCATACCAAAATTTTAACATTAACGACTAAGGGCTAAAATGAAAGAAGAATAAAAGTACATGAATTAAACTGACCAAAAATAAAAGAAGAATAAAGTGAATTTAATTCATACCAAAAATAAGTGAAAGCATCGGATCATGCCAAATTTAATTCTTTTTTTTTTTTGTCTAAAATGGAAAAGAATGGATCAATGGATTTAGAGGGAGAATTTATGCTTCTCTACTCTTATTCTCTACTCTTATTGAGTGATATTAGTGGTTACGCACAATATATTTTTTTAAAAGTTCTAGATTTGTGTAGTTGTATCTCTAAAGTACGTATGTATTGTCAATGATTAAAAAAAATTATGAACATATATTATCTTATAATCAAGAACAGAGCTTAGTGAGGGCTCAATGGGGTCCCGACCCTGTTAAAATTTGTATATTCAATATAATTTTTGTATAATATTGTTTTGGTACATGTAAAAATAAATATTTATATTTAAAAAATATAATAATTTATTAAATATTTAATCAATGACCGAACTAAAGAAAGATAACTCTATGTTCTCAAAATTTTTAGTCTAATAACAATTGATGTTATTGTAAGTTTAAATATTAGACAAATTAAGTGTTATCTTGTGAATTTTGAGTTTTTAAAAAATAAATGTAAGGTGAATATAAGATAATATCTACACAAAAACTCTCAACTATTTGACAATGAACGATCATACTCATACATGCGCAGTGCTCGAACTCGAGACCTCAAGAATAACAACAATCCCTTAATCACTAAGGTCTTTTAGTTCGTGCTAAATTTTAAGTTGAAATGTCTAATAAAATTTTATATTTTTTTTTCAAAAAGTCTAATATTTCAACTCCTGTCAATATTTAATTATGACTCTTTCTCTGCTTATAAACATTTTGAACTATTAAAAAATATACATAACGATGAAACTCGAAAACCATAATAATTTGATGTGTTTTCCCTAATCAATAATCCATAAGGGCTCTTTGACCCAAATCATTGAGATAAATCTTTAGCACTAAATGATATATTCTTACTATAAGATAAAGATTAAATGAATAAGATGTTTAATAATTTGTATACAAGATGTCAAGGAACTCGTGCTACGGAAGTTTAAAGATTGTGCTCATGAAAATTGTCTCTCTAAAAATTTTAAATTTTTATATATTTAAAATTCTATTAATAATGTGTTTCCGTCACTTATAAATTTAATCTTCTTAGAATTTTATATAATGATTGGATGACATCAAATTATATATAATAATTAAAAATATTATTCGTGATTTATTTGAAGAGAGATAATCAAAAAATTTGAAAACCTAAGTAACTTTATGTAATCAGTCAACAATAAAGGCTCTTTACCAAAACATTTTGAGATAAATCTTTGGCACCAAATGATATAATAATAGATGAATAAGATATCCAGAAGATTTGATTTTGATTTTATTTTTATAATTGCAGGTATTTGATCTATTACTCAATTAATTCAGTCGGATATTATAAAAATTTAATATGAGAGAAATCCTTTCAACCCATTTCATACACAAGGTGTCAATGGCCTATTTAAAGAAACTTGAGCTATTGAGGTTTATAGATCGTGCTCTATCATGTGGTAAAATAAAATGTTATTTTCTTTATATGTCTTAACTTCAAGCAGTTGTGTTTACAGAATGTACGTGCGTTATCAATATGTTACGACAAGATGTTATACATCATGATTAGCAATTAAGTACAAAGGAAATAAAGATAGAGTTTAGAAATGCTCATTAAACATGAAACGATCTCCACTCCTAGCATCAAGTCCATTGGAGTTGAGTTCTCATCCAAATACAATTGTGATAAACTCTTTAATATGAGAATTGAAACACAAAATTAAGAAAACAAAAATTTACAAAATAGTTTAAGATAAAAAAACAAGTAAAAAGACTCTAATTTCTACATCTAATCCTCTCTTTTTTAACCCATGAAGCAATTTCAGTAGTAAAAAGAGTGTTATTCTTTCTAGATGCTTCAGATTCGAATAACTACGTGTCGCTCCTAGAAATTTTAAATTATCATATAATTTAAAATTTTTTCTTTATATTTTTTATTGATAATCTATTTTTACCCTCTAAAATTTTATGTTTTCCCCTTCTAAAATAGTACAAATTCATCTCTTTTATCATAAAATCATGCGTCCATCTCTAAATTTAGAAAACGAGTTCAATCTCAACATTTCTCCCCCACAATTAGGGGTGAGCAAAACTTGACTCGACTCAAAAAATCGATTCTCTTTTTCAATTTCGAATTATTCGAGTCAACTCGAATTATAAATTCTGTTTTCGAGTTTGAGTTGAAATTATAAAATTTTGAGTAACTCCAAAAATAAAAAATTTAAAGCCCTTGATTTTCCGTTCCATCAATTCCTCCTTCATTTTAAATCAAATTTTTAATCAAATCTGAATCACCTATTCTTAAAACCGTTATAGAATACATATGCACTTTCAATTCTACTTTTTGATAACAACTTTTTTGTTTTTCTAATTTAATGCTTCAATTTTGTATGATTTCTTTATTTTTTTTCAATTCATCCTTCATTTTAAGTACATTATTGATCAAATTTAAATCACATGTTCCCTTATAACTATAGAATGTTTATGTAACTTTTATTATTATTGTTTTACTAAAATTATATGTTCTTTTTTAATTTGCTCTTTAACTTTGTATTTTACTCAATTTAGTCTTTTGACTACAATTATTTATAAATTCATTATTCAAATCAATTCTTTGACTTCTTTATAATCTCATCAATCGTTTATCCTCAAAATACTTACTTTAAAATATAATATTATAAATATATTTTATAATTTTAGATTGTTTATGATATATTAAATAACGTTATAATGTGAAAAGAATATGAAGAAATATATATATATTATATGATTAAAGAAAGTCAAAAAATAGAATAAATTCGTACTATAATACTATAAATAATTATAATTAAATTTGTATGGAAACTCGAAAAATTCAACTCGACTCAAAATTTTTTAAATTAAGTTTGAATCATAAAATATGACTCGTCAACTTGAATAATTTAAAAAAATTAACTCGTCTCGATTGGATCAAATGTTCAATCCCTACCTTCAATGTCACTACATTAAATGTTCATCCCTACCCACAATGTCACGACATTAAATGTTGTGACACATTAAGTTGTCTTAGTGTAATGATATTGTAATGATGTGACATCGCGTCCTAGCTTGGTTTTCATTTTTGTTACACTTTAAGATGGACTTCTAAACTAGGGGTGTAAACGAGTCGAGTTCGAGTATTGTTGAGTTCGATTCGATTAGAAAACTCTGAAATGAAGCTGACTCAACTCGAAAACTCGCGAGTTTAAAATTTTCAAGCTCGACTCGAACTCAAAATTCTGAACTGAAACTCGTGAGCAGCTCGAAAAGGCTTGAAATGAAAAAAAAATCTTAAACTTAACTCGATTGAAGCCTTAAACTCAAACTAGAACATAAACCTTAAATACATAAAATCTTACTGTATTTTTAAAAAAAATCAATACATAAATATTAATATTATTAATATTTTTTTTTAAAAAAAAATAATATATATAATATTATTATAATTTTTTTTTAATAAAAATAAATCTTAATATATTATATTTTCGAGCTGTTCACGAGCTTTTCGAGTCGAATATCGAGTAGCTCGTTTGGCTCATCCATTCGATCCGAGTATTTATCGAATTTGATTGAGTCGATCTTAAGTAGCTCGCGATCTCTCGTCTCATGCCCTATTCTAAACATAAATAAATCTCAAATGGTCTCTTAATCAATTAAAACACTAAATAACACTAAAAACACATAAAAATAATTTTGAATTATTATGATTGCAAAATAGAATGTTAGCACTGACAAGCAAAATTAATAATAAAATCATTATTATACTGTTAAAGAACCACTTGATCGTGTAATTAAAAAATAAATGTAATTCATTAAATGAAATCAGGAGTTTGAATCATAATATTGGCAAGTGGAGAAAATTAGTTTGAGAAAATCGTCCTCGCCTCTCGATTTAAATTAATCGATCAATAAATCGGATATCAGTGGTTAATTAAAAAAATCGTTTTAATTTCTAAAATTATCTCATTTAAGATGTCATATTAGAAAAATCAACAAACAACACTCTTATTTTCTTTTTTACATTTATATGTCTCACTCTTTATATCTATCAGAATAAATCTATCAACCATCTTTTAAGAATAAGAGAATATATATATGTATGAGGTAAGTGCAAATTAAAATTAATATATGTTTAAAGATAACTCTCAATCTTTTTAACATTGAACATTTATGCTCCTAATATTTTTGGTGTTCGAATTCGAAACCTAAAAAAAAATAATTACTTTACTACCAAAATCCTTGAGATTCATGCGAGTATTTTTTTTCTTCTTAAGAAAAAAGGAATATCATATGGGAGCTGGAAAATAAGAAAGGCAAAGAGCCAAAATAAAAGAGTCGTACATAAATCCTTTCATAAAGCAATTATCTTATCAATATGAGATATGCTTATTGTGTTACCAACAATCCTACACTACTATAAAGAAGTAAGATTTTGGAAACCGAGAAAACAATAATAATAAAATTAGTTGTTTAAATACAAGTATTTCTTAATTTTAAACTAATACATAACAAAACAAATAGTTATTTTCTTAATAAGTGAAAAATAGGATTTTTTTAATAGAAGCCACTAACTTTTTCAAAATAAGAAATATTCTGAATTGTAATAAAAATATATAATCATAAATTAAGTACATAATTAAAACAATTTTCTATAATCATTGAAACTAAAATTAACAACTTCAGTCAAAGAAAGATTAAAAACTTAACTAAGGAACTCAAACAAATATAGATACAAACAGAACTGATTACATCGATAAATGAAACAAAAAGAGATCAAGACCACCGACAAATCACAAATCAGATTCGAACGACGTGAAAACCTATCTACGAACTCAAATCGGATATCCAATTTCAATATGAGTGTCCAAAACAAAAAAAAAGCAACAAGATATTAGATAAGTATCATCTTGATCAGTCATGACGATGTCAAATCAGATTAAAAAAAGATAATTGAAAAAATGACCAAACGATCAAAAAAACATGCCAAAATACAAGAAAAGACGGGCTATAAAAATAGATGAAAATGTACCATATAAGCAGAAATAAAAGTATGATATAAGAAAAGAAAAAATAAATATAGAATAACAACAATCAACAATCACAATTAATATCATCACCGATCAATAAAGAATAAAAGGAAAGGAATAAGTGACACACCACACCAATAAAAAGAATAAAAGGTAAGCGACACACCAATAAAAAGAAAAAATAATAAATGACAAATAATAAAAGAAAACAAATATTTTAACAAGGGAATAGGAATTAAACTTATTAAAATAAAAATAAAATCATAACACATGTCTAATCTCAAAATTAATTAGATTTCACAATAGATCAATAATTTAATTAATATACTTTATGATATTTATCCTTTCAAGGTCTTGTATGGGTGGTAAATATAGAATCTCATAGTAGAACTACCCTAGTACTCGTACAAGGTTCCAAGACGAAATTCTATCCTCGTTAAAAAAAACACATTTCTAACTAAGAAGAAAACTCAACTGGGTCCCTTCACCGTGAAAAATTCTACTGTACAATCATTAATTTGAGGCTAAGAAACGACAGGAAATAAGCGTAATAGGCACAACTGAAAATAAAACTCCACTGGTCCTTCACCGCTGCTTTTTAGCATTTTCACTTGCTCGCTTCTTTCGGCGACTTTACGATAAGGACGGGGCAGAAGGCATGGTGTGCACAATAGTCACTCACGCTTCCTAAGAATGCCCTGCAACCAAACTCACCATTACCACATAATCAAATTACATGATTCCATTTCTAAACATGAAAACGGTACGCTTAAATAGAGGCTCAATATTTATATACAAATTACACGTTCCATAATATATTAAGTGATTTCGGTTAGTTTTTTTCTTTCTAAAAGTCCGAGATTTAAACCATTACATCTGTAAAATAAATTTTTACACAATTATGAAGAAGACGCACTGTGGTCCATACATCTTCTCCAGAAAGACGGAAGTTCCCGACATCTTTCACGTGATATTATATCAATCATTCTACTTCATAAAATAATTCGCGAGAAACATTATATAGAGAATTTTTTTTCCCACAACATTATCAGGGCAATTTTGCCATTTAAGATGTTATAACTTAAAAAGATTCGTTAATCATGATTACTCTCTGACCACAGAGACACCAGTGATTATACCAAAAGAAAATGGCAAAATGAATCACCTCTTAATCTTTCCGAGGTTCCGGTTGCCGACCACAAGAAGATCGACATGCGTATCTTGGGTTGCTCGGCATATCTTTTCCTTAGGGTCCCCTTCAAATATCAAAGTCTCCACTTCAAAATTCTGCACCCAATATATATATATATACACACACACACAAACACATATCATGCGTGCAATTTTACTTTTATTAATGAAATATCAGAAATGGAGCAGTTCAATACCGTTCTATCTTTGCACAGATTGGATGCACGGGAGAGTAATGCTTTGGAAATCTGTTCTTGACCTTTCTTTATGGATTCCTCAACGGAAGCTGGTATGTAATATGCTGTTGAAACTTGAAAAACACAAGAGTTAATTAAATATATACACCATGTTAGATTAAGAAGAGGAGGGTGTTACCTGTACCTCCTGGTCCTGCAGGAACATACAGACGGTGGAAAGTCTGGTGAACATGAACTAGACTCAGTTTCATGAGCCGCAAACCATCCTGGTTAGCTGCAGCAGTGATGCTACCACAAACGTGGTCCAGGGTCCATTGGAGTGCATGGAAACTCTCGTCACTCTCGTCTATACCCACCATTACTCTCATCTCTTTAACCCCTTCTTCTCCCACCTGCGCCGGCGACTTTCCTTTCGTCGTTTCCATCACCAAATTTGTCCCCCCTCCACTTCTTTCAGTAACTTCATATATGTATATATTGATTAATATAAGATCGATGACAGGATGAATGTTGCTGCTACTATCCTCGGATATCGGGTATGATTAATTGAAATTAGACGTGGAAGTTTGCAATCATGTTGACGGCCAAGGAAGGAAACGTGGCAGCCATGCAATGCATGGAGGACAGGTTTCCAAATTACTCTCGTAGGCAAAAGAAATATGCATTTGTCTGTAGTTGAGAATCTGAGCTTTGCTACTCGGTGGAGCTTTGGCCATACATACTTTTTTATTATTATTAAGTATTGAAATTTGCTTCACTTTTAAATTTGTAATTAGATTAATATTATTACTTTCATTATTATATTATTCATAAATATTTAAGTAAATAATATATTTATTATTCGATTTTTTAGATTGAGAGAATATTAAAACCTAAATGCTTATATTTTATTTTATTTGTGATTAAATGTTTTAGGTAAGATTAATCATCTAAATATTTTTTATTATTTAAATAATAATATTAGAGACAAAAAATAAAATTTAAGTTCAGCTTATGATTAAGCACGAAAAGATATTAATATTCTAATATTGTCCGTTATAACATAAGCTTAAATAATTGTATATTTATTGTAAAATAAAGAAAGAATAAGAATAAGATGTGCGAGAAAAGAAAGATATGAAGTGTATTCAGAGACTTCACCAACCTCTATATTTATAGTTAAAACCTCTATATTTATAGTTAAAAGTAGTACATATAATATACAACTTTAATATTGATGGATATTAAAGATCTGATAATGATAATAATGTACATTAAAATCTTATCTTATAGATAAAGATAGTCATCAACATAAATAGATATTATAATATTTTTCCTTGAACGTCTATAAAGATAATGTGTCTCGTTAAAATCTTACTAAGATAAAAATTACATGGAAAAAATTCTAATGAAAGAAAGAGTACACATATCTTTAATACGCATAATATGTTATCTTATTAAAAACCTTATCAAGAAACCCAATAGGATAAAATTTTGACTAAGGAAAAAAGAGTATAACACATATTTACTCTCCCTCATGTATGCATTACTATAGATCCTTGAAAAAACACAATCTAACGTTGGTAATTAATCTCACAAATACAACCGTATGAAGTGTCTTAGTAAATAATTATGCCAAATTTTCACTTCATCAAATTTGTTTAACATCAGTTTAGATCATGAGTAAAGACAAATTCTGATGACGTGAGTTTTGTTTTGTTACCTAATAAAATATATGATTGATCTCATATATACAATAAACTTAGGAGTTCCCATGATATTCAAATCATCAATATATACAATAATTATAATATATTTTAATCTTGGTGTCTTTATAAAGACACATGAGTAAGTTGGATCATTTATATAACCTTCAATGAATAGTAATTGAGTCTGGTATATCATATACATTCGGATTAGTTCATTTAATCTAAATATTGAAGTAAATATATTTGTACAAATTTTCAAGGTTAACGTATAAACAGTCATAATGACTTTATGGTTAACACATGTACTAAAGGATACTATAAACATCCCCAATTAGGGTTGAGCAAAACTTCACTCGACTCAATTTTTTTTTACTCGACTCCAATTGACTTCGAGCAATGGCATAAACTCGACTCAACTTGAAAAATTTCAAGTTCAAATTGAGTTATAAAATAAAACTCAAAATTTTTAGTAATTAGTGGATTGATTTTTCAGTTTGTGTTGAGTCCCTCGACTCTGTATGATATATGTATATCACATATAAAAAATATGAAGAAATATATATGTATTGTACATGATTATAAAAAATCATTTAAATTGAAATAAAATATTATCATAATATTATAAATATTTACAGTTAAATTTAAATAGAAACATAAAAACTCGACTTGACTTGAAAAAAGTTTCAACGTGATCAACTCTCCTCTTCATCCAAATATCGACCAATAATCGTTCTTTTCCAATCACGACTTTCTGCTCAAATCAGAAGGGATGAATCACTAACGATCGAAGAACCTAATTAGTCATAATCAACAATATTTATTTAGTGTTGTTAAGAAAATAGAGATTATCTATTAAAATAGTTTTTCTTCAAATTTTGAGTTGAATTTTTTAAATTTTAAAAATGTTTGTAAAAATTTTAAAGTGATAAAGTAATTAAAGATGATAAAATGATTTTATTAGTGCCTAGAGTGATCATAAAATATTTAAGAGAATAATATCATTATTGATATGAATGGGAAAAATCTTAAATTTTTATTAAAAAATAAAAAATAAAATAAAAAAGTTGGTGCCAAGTTACTAGGTGTGCTTCATGTTTCTTCTTTTTTTTAATAGGAGAAGCAAAATACTATTACATTAAGCTCTTATACGTAGACGAGGAGGATCGTCAGTATATTTCTCTAAGATAAGAAGCAGTTGAGGTAGAAGTGACGAAAAATAGTACTCGAACCATCAGGGAAGGTGTCTATCTTTGCAATGAAATTCGAGGCAATATTTGTTTCTCGGTAGTTTTTATGGAAGTCTATAAACCAAGCTTTGGCATAAAGACTAATAATTGCCCTCACTAGAGTGAAAGGACTAGTATCGGATGGAGGAGAAAGGTGTAACACCCTAATCTGACTCGACCCGAAGTCCGAGGGATTAAAACTTTAAAAGGAATCATCGAAGTAACTAACCATTTTCTTTTTGAAATCAACCATCATAATTGTCATTAAAATCCATAGTTTAAAACATAAATAAATAATGTTTACAAATGGGGAGCTCCCAATAATACATCCTAAAATAATACTAAGTACATCAAAATAAAGTTGCAACTCGAACATATATAGGTCAATGAATAGTACGTGTCCACTAATAATACTCAAGATGTACTTTGATAGCTTGTTCAATCTAGAACATAAATGGTGTAGTTTGAGGTCACACATCATCCGGGACTTATACCCCTCTAGCTTACTGAAACGGGTACTCTGGATAAGACATGGGTCACACAACATAAAAATGCAATCATTACCAAGTATATCGGGTGAGATCTAGGTCACACAACATCATAAATGTATACCCAACTAGTCTACTCCTATTGAGCATTCTGGATATCTCCGAGTCACACAACATCCGAGCAACGTCAGACTAGCATTTTAAGTGCCTTAGCACTGATTTGGATATATCCATATATTCTTCAAACAACTAGATGGTTGTCTTGCACACTAGTAACTCGGGTGTCCTCGTCGTTTATCGAGTATCAAACAAAGGCATAAGACTTATGAAATCTGACGCCAGACATAATAGTGATTATCTTGCAAGCGCTCCAACAGATGATTCACAAGAGAAAAATCGCCCAAAAAATCTAGAGAAAAAGTCTCTAGGGTTTAATAAAATATTATCAAATCAAACAATGCCAAAATCAGTCCACAAACCGGACTGTTATTGCCAAAAATCGTCTTTATTTGAATTTTGCCAAAAATAGCAAAATCCCGAAAATTACTCTAAATTGAAATTCAAAATAAAATAAGCAATCTCCAAAAAATCCGGCCTAAATCGGATTTAAATTGACTTCCTAATTGACAATCGAAATATTACCATAAATAGTAAAAAATATCTAATTCTAGTGATTCGGAGGGGAAAACGGCATAATTTGAGGTTGAAAAAAAGGCCATATGTGGAGAGCGTGTGCGTCGAAAAGAGCTTTCTGGATTGGGGTCTTATGCGTGATTCTAACACCTGTAGCCAAAGTTATGGCCAAAAGACTGAAACATACTCAAAACGACCCCAATGAGGAACATGTCACAATCAATTCCCGCCTTTGCGCTGATCTGCCAATTCATGGTATCTCAGCGCCATCAAGGTGCAATCTGACAGCTCAACATCATCTGTCTCGGATCCCCCTGCATCAAAATCTTACCTCATAATATTCTTATACTTATCACAACTTGTTCAATGTTTTCACTTTCAAGCTCTTATTAGTATGTTTCAACGTCCTTAGACTCCTCTCTTGAGTTCTTTAGCAAAATAAGGCTTCAAGATTTTATTTCTCTCAGTAGTATCGGTACCCTGCCTTGGGGTATCAATACCGACCTTAGAGTATCGATACTCACCCTAAGTATCGGTACCCTTTTTACTTTTGATGTTTTGGAAAAAACTCTTTAGTATTGATACACTCACGTAGAGTATTGATACTACTCTTTTGTGTTATCGATACTCTTACCTAGAGTGTCGATACTACCCCACGGTATTGATACTACCCTAGAGTATCGATACCAAATTTTCTTACTGGAATCTAAAATTTGAACTTGGTTTTGATACCATGTCATCGATATCAATACTCGAGGAACAATATCGATACTCTATGAACCGAGTATCGATACTACCTAGCCAAAAAATCAAATTTTGGCCTATCTCAAGAACAATATCGACATTGTTCCTCCAATTTAGTTTCCCAACCTAGAAATGCCCTATTTCTCACGAAGATTTCACTCCTACGAATCATCAAAGTCATCCTACAACCCTTAAATGTTATTTAAAACTTATGGGAGTTAAAGAGTATCACAATATCTCATTTTTCATGCATCAATAACTTAAATTCGTCTAAAACCATTTCCAAGCAAAAGTGCACCCATATGCTTCATACATTCATACAAGCAAGATAACCACACAAGATGATCTACAAGTGGTATAAATGAGCTAGAAGTGTGTCACCTTACTCCTAAGCTACTGAAAACAACCTCAAGCTCACCTAAGCATAAATTTCTACTTGTTCTTGCCTTTAAAGCTTTCTCTTACTTCTTTCACTAACAACATAACAAAGAATGAGTTACAATTTCATTTAATGATTAAAATAAAGTTAGAAAAGCTTTCTACATGCTATAATCCATATAAAATGAGTTGGATTTGTTAAGGTTCTTAAAAACCTTATAAACCCCCATCCATGGACATCATGACCAAACCTTAAGAAAGATTGTGTGAAAG